GAAGACAGTTGTTGATAAAGGTCTGCAACAGGCTGTTGGAAATATTCATTGTGACCCGCCAAGTTTCTGATCCGTATAGAAGAACTGACTTGATGTTTGTATTGAAAATCCGAATTTTGTTGTTGATGCAGGCTGAGTGACGAAGATTTCCAGATTGGTTTCAGGTTGATGAATGTGTTTCTCGCCTTCCCGATTCTCGATTTGACATCGTCGTCCGTTCCTCCTGTAGTTGAGACAATGCTCCCTACCTAGATAAGTGAATGAAGTAACCTCTTTCAAATCCCTCCCGTTGATGGTGATTGGCGCTGGATATTGCTGCTGCTATTGTTGTTGTTGGTTGGTTATTTTCATAACTTCCGTCTTGTCTATGTTCACCTGGAGTCCTGTTTTCACTGGCTGCTTCTTCGACCAGTTTGTCGATTTTCGCTTGTAAGTCTTCGATTTTGTGTGACATCAAACATAAATCATCCGCGAAATCCATGTCTTCTAAATGAAAATATAAGACATTGCGACAATATGAAAAAAATCTGGAAGTTATATGAATGCCATGATAGGATTATGAGCAATAAATTGTGCTCTTAGCGTCATCAATGAATAATGCTATATCATTGTGTTTTCCTCAGGTAGATTTGTTCTATAACGGAGTAAAGACTCAACAAACTACCTACTTACCTGCTTTCATAGAAGAAGAAGACGAAATGATATGTAGAAGTGTCACTTTAAGCTACTACAAAATAGTGTTTAGTGAAAGAATGGTGTACTTCGACGGTTGATATGAAGAAGGTTGTTCTTAGGTAGAGAGTTGAAATTTCCCCAAATATTTGCTAAAAATTCAATGTGAATGGCTAAATAATCTTTCTGTAATTTCTACATAGGTAACTTTGTAGATGATTAGCAATTAATTTAAGTTGTTCGAGTAGCTGTTATCCTGAAAAGCAGATTTCGAGTAGTTTTATCCCCTTCTTCGTCAATTCACTGTGTAAGTCGCTTACACTCTGTTGGGCTTATGTAGGCAAAGTCGAACAGTCGGTGAATAGAAATATAACAACGATGAGATGTTTTCCTCTGATGACCAGAAGGCCAGCTATATTGCTCTTGGGGAAAGAGTTGGCAAAGATCGATCCGAAAAACATTGTACATCTCCAAAAACCAACTCAAACACGTCTGGCCTCATGTAGTGGTGCCCTGGGCACTGCGGTCACGTAACACTAATAGCCTTACGGTTTTAGGTGACCCAAAAAGAAATCATATCGGTTCTATACACTTAATCTGATTATTTAAAACTAAATACTTGCTCACTGATTTGTGGACCTACGAAAATCAACATTCTGTGTTAAATAAAATACGCAGTTTTCATCAATTTCCCTCTATTTTTAGAAAAAAACTTAATTAAGCTCACATTTATTATTTAGGGGTAATTCCATTATGGAATAATTTCATTTCCTAAAACACTCAGTGATATAATAATATTTTCAAGTATTGGTTTTGTACGGATTTAGTTTGATTGGCTGGAGGATTTCATCATGAGCTGACATCAGTTAGAGAACGACTGGGAGTACTGGACAGCTGTTTCGTCGTAGTTTGGGACTCTTCACCAGCGCGCACCCAGGCAGTGACCTGAGGTTCTAGTGATAAGCCGTGACCAGTAGGATACAGCAGGTTGAAGATGAGGCAGTAACTCATCGAAGAAGACATTCCGAAATGGTCGTGAATTGGCAGAAGTTAGAATTGAAGAACCATTGGATCGGGTCTCAGTGGCTCAATGGTCTACGAGCTCGCCAGCTTTGTAACCAGAAGGTCCTGGGTTCGAACCGTGGTGGTGGGTGCGTACTGCTGAAGGGTCCCAAACTAGGACAAAACAGCTGTACAGGTTTTCCGGTGGTTCTCTAACTGATGTCAGCTCATGATGAAATCCTCCATCCAATCATAATAATATTTATTTGTTAATGGCGGTTTTGAGCACAATTTATTTGCTAGTAATCGTGTGATATCATCTAAAGGTATTGCATTTTAAACCAGTAGTCTGAATGGTTTTCAGTTCGTCTCTTTGCCCCCAAAAAGCGACATCAATAAAAAGATAATTTCGTCGAGTTTCTAGTCAAGTCTATCAAGTATAACTGACTCGTTCATTCTCATTATTATTACCCCATGGCTGATTTCGGTGATCTTATAACCTTAATGAAACTGATCATTCTGATAAATTGTATCAGTCGATGAGTATGCATTAGGATACAATAGCACTAGTAAAGGCAAATGAAAGTTATATGAGAAACTGTATTGAGGTACAAGTATAAGATGGAATAATAGTCTGTTGGTTAATAACGTCTACCGAATAAATAATAAAATGTACAGTCATTCGGAAAATAAAGTGAAATGTGAATCGATAATTAAGTGACGTACTAAAGTATTTATAATCCAATTTCATTTGTTAGATTTCGTCAGTTAGAGCGATCACTGAAAACCAGGGAAGACACTGGACAGCTGTTTCGTCCTATTCTTGGTCTCTTCAGCATTGCGCAACCACAACCGCACCATAGAGCGAACTTAGGTCCTTCAGGTTACGAGACCAAGCTGGTTGTCTATTTAAACACTTGCATAGGAATTCAGTTACCTGTGAATTCTAACTTCGTGTAACTGATATTGATTAGTGTCGAAATCTAACAATGGAAATTAAATTGAACTTTAAGCACCTAAGGCATCAATCAATTGGCAAAGGTGATTTTAACGTATATAATGAATAAATGAAACTGTTACACAGGATACCTTTTCCTGACGTATGACAAAAATGACCCCGAGTATTATACTGGAGTATCAATAGAGTAATTAAACCACACTCTATGCATCTATCCATCTAAGTTTTCTAATCCAAACCCTAATCTATCTATCTATCTGTAACCCAACCTTAACATGCAACTATCCCTATATGGGCTGTAATTTAACTCAAACCAATCCCAATAAGTCCTTTATTAAGTTAACCTAACTCTAACCTGTCCTTAGCCTAAACTTTAAGTTAGTATTCCCCAAACCTAACCTAAAGTTTACTAGATATTCCGTTTAATACCAAAAAATTTCATTGAGCGAATTTTGGTTTATAACTGTGTAATGTTATATATCTGGTTTTTGACTAACTTGCTGTCTGACCATTCCAAGGCATTGGTGCGGTAGTCGGTCGCCTTCACTGGTTAAAGTTTTAGCTTGGCCTGAAATTTAATTAATCCAATTCCTCACAAATCTCCTAATCTAAATATCAATCTTCAGGTCATTGATGGCTACTGAATAAATGTCCTGAAGTTGTAGTGAGGAGCCATGACCAGTAGGGTCAAGGTGAAGTGAGTATTCATCGAATGCATTGAGGGAGGGTAGTGTTGTATACTAGTTGACAAAGTTAGAATCCCACCCTAAGTGACTGGATAGATAGTCAACGTGCTTATTCTCGTAGCCTGAGGGTCGTGGGTGCTCACTGATGAAGAGTCCCAGATTAAAGTGAGCTGTAATCAGATAATAAGAAGACGGTAAGCCTAGTGTAAATCCAGAGAGTGAGAAATAATAGTGATAATAACAGGATGAAGTAGAACTAGGTGAAAAGTAACATGAAGGGTATAATAACACTGGGAAATATGAGGTGATTACATCACCTAGTGACCTTATTGTAGGCTAAGGTTACACAAAATGGATAAATTCACATTTTTGCAGACATAGTTAAGGCTTGTTGATATTGATCCCTAATGCTTTAGCTATGGCTACAAGACATAATCGCGTACTTTTAGGCAGATTGTTTGCAACTCGAAATATGACCGTAAACGACTCATCTGTTTTAATGCTGTGTGTTTGCTGTCCACTAAATGAGATGCAATCTCACTATTTATTCCTTTGATTGACTCCGTTTCTAAGCTGGTTAGGAAATGTGTTACGTATGCCTAGTCATTGCCTTCCTCGACAACGGGCAATGTTACATGGCATAGGGTCAGGCTGGAAAAGAGCTAGCGGTGGTCAAACCAAAACGTGTATTCACCAGTCAATGAAATCCACAACAGTTAGTTTAAGCCATGTAGGAAGGTGTAGACTTCCTGGTTGGGGTCCTCGGGACGGTAAAAACCAATGGTTGGAAACAATTGGTGATATGGCTCAAAATCGTTCTCAATGGCTGGTGCAGATGCATCCACTCCTTGTGACTTATGATTTCCAATGAAACTGTTTTGTTCTTCGTTATTACTATTCCTTTGTCTCACACCTCAACTTACTGTCTATATTATGCACTTATTTTACTTTCTTCTCTTTCTTTGTGTGCTACATGGAGTGTGGTGACTTGAACTGCCGCACATATGTGCAAAGTTCTATGTCGAAAACAGACAGACAGACAGAAGCTGCACTGTTAAATGTTAACAATTGCGATAAGTACGGCCTACATAACTAGCTTCACTGAAACGGTTAAAGAGAATTAATAGACTCTGTGTAAAAATTATATTTGTAAAAATCTCTGCAAAATTGAAGTAAATAATTCCGTTTCATTAGACCAGTTTACCTAACGAAACGTGGGAATTATCTATTTCAGTTTCTCTGATATTTATACAAATATAATTTTTACATATGTCTACTTTTCACTTGGCGTCCACTTATTGTAGAACTTTTCGGTCACTACTTGGTCGGAGTTCGTATAAAAGAGTTATTACTATTATTATTTTATTCCTTAACGTTCCCAGTGGAACATAGGGTGACTTCAAGCTAGAGCTTTGAAGTTTCGGTAGCAGTGGTGTTTTTATTTTTACGGGATGGGGTTGCTAGCCTCATGCCCAGCCCAACCTTGCCTCTTTACCAGTCTTATTATTGGCTTAGCGAGGCAAAGGAGTGCGTCTGTGGCCGGGGATCGAACCTCGAACCACCTATGGCGTGGTTGGCGAGCATTCTACCGTTGTGGCACTGACGCATTGCTCAAATCTACATTATAATTGTCTTTTTGATGCTATTTTCTCTGTCTTTCACTCTCCCATTTTTAATCTTAGTTCCATCTCTTCAATCTGGTGGGATAGTTAGTCAAATATTCCCATTACATGAACCAAATTCCCTGAACAAGTTGATGCGTACCTGGATAACTGGTTGGATAGTGAAACAACCATTGGATGATATAAAAGAATATTTTGGCACAAAAGTTGCAATGTACTTTGCATGGTTAGGTCATTATACTTATTCATTGATATTCCCGTCAATTGTTGGACTTCTAGTCTGGTTATTTGTCAGTCCTAATGTAAGTTATCAGTATTTTTCACCTAATGGTTTATTATTATTATTATTATTCGCTTGTGTTTCCAGCAGAGAATAGGGTTTCTAGCAGTACATCATCTCCTTTTCACTCTGTTCTCTGCAGTCTACTCTTATCTGAGACTCCACGATTGTCGTCAAGTTTTCGTTTCCTTCTCACATGATCTCTTCCACCTCACCGTCGAACTTGGGGGGCTCAACTCGTAGTTTCCCATTCGGGTTTCATGCGAGCGATGGCCTGGCGCGTGATGTCACTCAACTGTTTCCTTAGTATATGCTTATCGTCTCTGGGCGGCCATTCGCTCTCCAACATGGAGAGAAGGCATCTGTTAGGGACAGTGTACAGTAGCCTGCTCTGAACCAGATAGAAGTATTGACTTGACATTAGTTTCGAAAATCCGGATCTTCTTTCTTACACTGAGTACAGTAGACTTCCACAAAGATTTCAGAGTAATGATGATCTGTCTGTGAACTCTTATCACCACGCAGTTCATAGAAAATGACGACTATTTGTATAATTCAATGACATAACTAATCATCGTCAAATCTATTACCTTCATAAGATGATAGGTAAGCATAAAAGAGAAAGAAATATGAGTGCAGTGGCGTACTCTTAACTGGAGATCGCATCTAAACCATCTGGCTCTCAGATAACACAACTAAGCCAGTATCATCCATCTGAGCTATAGCCCTCTTCCTTCATATCTGAAGCGAGCGGTAATAATGATACTCGGTCAACTATAAATACCTATCAACACCAAATAGGAGAAATATAAATGAAGTCGTTTCGTCCACTTACCCGGGAATAATCGTCTCAAGTACATGCGGCATGAATATTACCACGTCAAATCCGTGGTCGAGGAAGGCAGACAGGTGTTCGCTACTCTGACAACATGACTGTGGGGATCTAGGGGAACAAGATTCCAATCCTCAAGACTACTTTCAGTTCAGAGACTTGGTGCATCACTAAAATCACTTTCAGTAGGTTTCAAACTTTCGTCAGCAGGTGCCTCTTCGGTCTCTGGACTCTTCGATGTGTTTACATTCATGCTCCCCCCTCTTACTGTGGGTCAGAAGCTGGATCTTTAGGCTCCAAGGCGAGTCTGTCAGCCGTACAACCACTGAGGCGGAGTTCAAAGTTTTGTGAATTCTCACTTCTGCTAATTCATGATATATATAGCGGCACTGTCTGAGTGGTTTAGTAGTCAACAGGCTCATCTCGTAACTCAAAGGTCCTAGGTTTGACCCCCGATAGTAGTCATGGGTGCCTGATCCAGAAGAGTTCCAAACTGGGACGAAACAGTTGTCCAGTACTCATTTGGTTTTCAGTGGTTCTCTACCTGATGTCATTTCGTAATCTAACTTTGATTATTACCGTCGTGAAACAAATTCTCTTCTACATTTCTTGTTGTTTTTTATATTTGTAGAAAAACTCATTTTATTATCTTCTAATGGCAATATTAAATTTAATCTGGACACCGTTGTATCTTGAACATTGGAAACGGACTAGTTCATTCTTAGCTTACCATTGGAGTTCATGGGATACACCGATTCCATTGTTAGAAGAGCCTAGACCATTATTTAAAGTAATTACTTATTTTGATTTTTTAAATATATATACACTGTAATCGTTATTATTGGTATCATCTTTTTAATCCCTTTACGTTCCAACTAGAACGTACGGCTTTACTGTCTAGGCTTTGAAGTTCCAGAAGCACTAGTGTTATTTTCTGCTGGATGGCACCACGCCCAGTCGCCCCTCTCTTGCCATCATACCACCGCCTATGCAAGGTTTAGGAGTGCATTGGCCGGGCATCGAACCTTCGACCACGTGGATGGTTGGCGAACCACTGACTCTCCTTGTGAGCATAATGTCTTAAAATCCTATGAAGACAAAAAGACGCTTCCAGAGAAAAAAGCAGTTCTTTTCCTTCTTCGATAAAGCCATCAAATAGGCTGTACGTTTGTGAATATGTAACAAAAGGGTGAGAAGATTTCCAGAATTATTTTCAGAATTAGGTATCAACATCGGAATAATAAAGTTAAGTTACACTATGCGAAGTGAGTCGTTGGTTCATGCAAATACACTGTGGGTGCGATTCCCGATCAGCACACTCTTTAACCTCGCCTAGTTGATAGTAAATCCGGTAAGGAGGGAAGGTTAAGCATGAGTCTAGCAATCCACCCCATAAAAACAAAACTACCACTACTGAAACGTCTTAAGAAATATACCTTGATGCTTTGTGTTCCACTTGGAATGCAAACAGGAAATAAACAGGAAAAACAAAAAGTAAACAAAATGTTATTTTCTCGTTGATAGCAGTGGTGGAATCTAGGCATCGTCATTTTGGATGAACCTGCGTCTCCAGTTAGCGGTGTTGTTCCCACTGAAACTTGGACTCAGAACCCATCGTTTCAAAAGACCAGGTGTTTTCCATTGGGCTATGAGCCAGTTAGCTAACCAGGAATAGAGTGTGGTTCGAACTGATTCAGCTTTTTGAACGTAGTCAAACTGAGTACGCCGTTGGTCAGCTCTACTTCAAACGAGCCAAACGGCCGCCTGGTGTTTAGGTGAGTGATATGCAACTACTCTTCTCAACCAATCAGTAGTATATAGATTTCAGGATATAGTTTGTTGCTCGTCTTTTTATACGATAGGGTGATAAAAACAATATTTTTATATGGTAAGCATGGCAAGTTGATTGCCTCCAACTATCTAATATCATCAAATCAATGTGCACCGTAATGGCGAGCTACCTAGAATAGTGGCCACATTGCAAACCTGACTCATAGAATAATTCAGTCTGCACCAAAAAAGGGCTAGACACGTCACACTAGGTACTAGTGTTCAATCAAAATACCCACTACAGTCCTACAGGAGGTCAATCACGAGCCCGAATAGCTAGCTCAGTGGTAACGTCTCTGACTGCAGTACTCACTGGGTGACGCGAGTTAGAATCTCAGAAGGGACATGAGTTCCTTCAATGGGGTTGCAGATACGCCTTGGTGACTGGTTGGTGAGTGCCATCTAGCACGAAACCTAGGCCCAAGGCTTCCACGTGACGATTGCCTCCAACTATCTAATATCATCAAAGTTGAATGCAATTCGATTACACCTTGATATGAGGTGATTATAATGATTGATCATAATCACTTCATGGTATTTTTAGAAGAAAAACTGGTAAATTAATTCACAGTTGTAGAACGTGTGACTCGGTAGTAAAACTGGAAAGAATAGTTCGCTATTAAACAATCTGTTCGTTAAATGATTGAAGTGGAGTTATATATTAAGAAATAATATGGCTTCGGTGACACAGCGGTTAGGACTCTCGCCAACCATGCACATGGTCCAAGGTTCGATCCCCTGCCGACTCACACCCGATATCAATGGTCGGCCTGCAAAATTTGGGCTACTCCGATATCACATGCTGAAAATTCCATACTTGTACCAAAAGCACGGTGTGGAATCAAGCTATCAACAAAAGTAAAACAAAAAAGAAAAAGAAATGAAAATAAGTTACTAATATCAGTCTATATAAATGGAGAAATTTCAGTGTTTAAAATAAAAAGTACAACAATTTTGCAACTCCTCACTAGTACTCCAGCTCACCTTGTAATTAGCAGGTCCTGGATTTGAACCCCGGTGGGTACGTGCTGATGCAGAGTTCCAAACTAGGAAGAAATCTATCCAATACTCCGTAGTTTTCCAGTGGTTCTCTAACTGATGTCAGCTCTTAATTTAATCTGCAATCAGTCAAATTTTTTTAAACTGACACTTGATAATTGGGTGAAATAATTTTTAAAGATATTTTGAATCTCCTGCTGCTGACTGATTTATTTTTGCCGAAATGATCGATCCTACCTAGCTGTCATGTGATTCAGCATCAAGCATTTATCACCAATATAAACCGATCACCGAGAAATATAAAATTTTCAAGTATTCGTTTTGTAGGGATTTTGTTTGATTGCATGGAGGATTTAAGCATGAGGTGACGTATCGCGACCATTTCGCTATGTCTTCTTCGATGAGTTACTGACTCATCTCCAACCTGCTGTACCTTACTGGTCACGGCTTCCCACTAGAACCCCAGGTTAACTGCCTGAATAGGACCAGTCGTGAATTGGCAGAAGTCAGAATTCAAGGACCATTGGATCGGGTCCCAGTGGTTCAGTGGTCTACGAGCTCGCCTTGTAACCAGAAGATCCTGGGTTGGAACCCCGGTAGGTGCGTACTGTGGAGAGTCCCAAACTAGGACGAAACAGCTGTTCAGTATGCCCAGTGGTTCTCTAACTGATGTCAGCTCCTCCATGCAATCAAATATAAAAATGACTGAGTCAAATAACAAATGATACTCTCTGCAGTATAATGAGAGGTGGCTCTTGTGGCTCAATAGCCTAATAGGTAACACTTTGAGGTTTGTAATGATAGGAACACACTATCACTCACTGAGAATTGCAGGTAGATCCAATCCAACAGTGTAAAACACATCATAGTTTGATTCTATTTTATGATTCGAATACATCTAACTCTTTTCCAACCCAAAGCCTATATCAGCTAACATTGCTTGAAGAGAGAAGAGCGATTAAATGCCATGCATAACATATGTCCTAGCCGTCTCGACTGATACAGCTTTATAACCACGCTGATTGACTTCCCCTATATGTACATAACACTCTACACCCAACGCTCAACATCACTAACCATATTGTAGTGCCTAACACAACAGATCGCGCTTTTGGTTAAGGATATATGACCTTTTGATATCTCCCACTTTCAACGTCTGTATCTCACACCCATCATCATTATTATTTTCTGCTTCCAGGGTACACTATCATTATGTCCAATCACTGGAAGAACAATACGTGTTTACCCAAGATGGAAACGTTTATTAATCTTGTGCTTTATTACCTGTCCTGTAGTTCTCCTGTCATTGTTTATTGTCATCCTAATCACACTCGTATATGTCCAGTTACAAGAGAAAATGAATATTACAGCTAATTCCAGTAGGACATACCTAATACCAAGTTTTGTATTATCAACTTTACCCAAGGTAATTTGCGTTTATTATTTTATTATTTTTTTTATAATAATAACAGTCATTCTGGACAAAATGTGTTTTTTTATTATCTCTGTAGATTTCTCAGAGTATTTTATGTCGTAATAATATTTACCCTTCTTCTAGGATCTATCTTCAAGTAAAATATTAGTCGGCAGTATATATCATATGATTCAATGAGGTCCAGTTTGAAGCGAAAACCAATCTCTGGTGATATTTACCTTTTATCC